ACAAAATTGTATGTTTGCAAACCTTAATATCCCATCAGAGAATAATCTCATTCATACATTTAATGCCTCTAATGATGAAGATAAAGTTTGGTACGATTTTTTAGGGAATTATGCTAGAGCATCTTTGACTGTTACTAACGATTTTTTGACTACTATGGATACANAAGTTTGGTACGATTTTTTAGGGAATTATGCTAGAGCATCTTTGACTGTTACTAACGATTTTTTGACTACTTTGGATATAATTTATCAAAACGTTTTTGGTAATAATAATCAATAAATGTAAAAGTTATTTTTTTGTACTAAATTTGTTAAATAATAATAATTAAAAATATTTCCTGTTATATAAAATAATAATTATATCAATGAGTTAAAAAAATAAAAAGTTCAACAATAGATTTTTTTTGTTATTTTATATTTTATATACTAAATACCTTTAATGAATATTAGTATATTATAACATATACCAATAAAACATAAAAATAGAAAAAGTATTATATTTTAAGTTTAGATAATGAATGATTGTTTTTTTTTAATGCCATTTATATTAAAAAACGTAGTTTAAACTGCATATCTGTCATTAAAGTTTTGAGAATAAATTAACTTTGGATGGCTAATTATTTCATTTTTCAACTCACTAAAAGCCCAATGAGCCTATATTATTAAAAGTAATGGTCAACGCGAAGAAACAAATAGATAAGTCGAAAAACATACAATAGATATTTTCATCTTTAAAAATGAAATTTGTTTAAATAACATTAATATTTCTTGAAATTTTTATCAGCAGTATACGAAAAATTTGTTCTTTTAATATAATCAATTTTTTTTGGAAATTAGGAATAATTATTTTTCAACATTTGGAACATATTCACTATTGAGTGATTTAGGTGATAACATGCAAGTGCAGTAGTTCTAAACAGACGTATTAACTTTATTATGTAAAAACTATGTTTTGCCTTTATAATATCATAATTGGACGTATGTCATGAGAATAAGTTCAATAGTCAATCATTAGATGATAAGCCGTCTAATGATTTTTGTTTATCGATGCACTTTATATTTTACCAATAGTCGTACACCAAATATTTTTTTATTAAATAACGATTGATCATGAGTTTAATGTTATTTGACATTCTTGATCTAACTTAATATTTTTTTGTTGCTTTTATCATTAAAAAAGTCCGGATCCTCTCTTAAAAATAATCTTTTTTAAGTAAACTTTGTAATTATTTCAATTTTTATGTTACTTATGTTGTTATTCATATATTGGGTGGAATATATTCTTAGAACTTAGCATCGAAGTTCCCCACTTATATAGACTATTGGCTTTTAATTATAGTATTGGCGCAAATTGTCTAAACAATTATACAAAAAATGAAATAAAAGTCCAGCGGAGGGTGTTTAGACAAGAAAAAAGTAACGTATGAGAAAATTATGCGTACGGTCAAATCTCTGTTCATGTATAATTATATAAAATTTTCAGTTAATAAGGAAACCGATCAACTGTTACAAACAATAAGAACAATAGCAACCCGTTTCCTTACTTACTGAACACTCTATATAATTATATATGAGCTGCCTCTAAAGGGTCCATTGAAGTTTAGCTGTATCTAACTCTGACACAGTCTCCCAATAATTATAAACGTTATGCGTAAATTTAGTAAATATTGTTAAGGAGCGGAGATATGATGTTAGATTCCTCAAATATTTTGTTTAAATATATCAATATGTAAATATAGCGATGGTAATACAGTCCACTGAAGTTAATACGGATAAAAATTCGTTAAAACTCATTTAATAAGTTCATGCAATTTAAGCATTATTTAACATTTATAATTAATTATTCTACATGTTGGTATTTCATTTAAAATTAAATTTATGTTACAATTAATTTTTTGAATTTATTCTTTTCAATGCTTAAGTGTCTATAAGTTAAAATGCTAATTCTGTTTCGTTAGTCGATGAATATATGATTGGTTAGTTTTCAATGTTTCTGCTGTCGAACCATTTTTTACATTAAAGAAGGACAATTTGATCGCTATCTATATACTTTGTATCAATGAAGTATTAACAAATAATTTTAACACTGCGAGAAATAGGAAATTAAAGATGACGGCCGCCGATACCACTGAATCGTTATTCCCCCTTAATGATACCGCCTCCTTTGCTCACTCTTATCACACCGGTTTTATGGGCTTCAGATTATGTGACGGTTTTCCGTTACAGAAGGTTTAACGTTTAAAGGAACACTCAGCTCCCACGACTACCCCGCTTTACATATGCCCAATATGCTAATGACCGTTGTTCTCTTTTGTACGTACAACGCCGTTTACTATCGTTTAGGGATACCGAGGAGAGGAACAAGGATTTAGGGTTTATTTACTTACGTGCATATTATCAGTATTTTTCACGCCCTCGCTAAAACCAAACCTGTTTAAACAATTAATTAAACGGAGTAGTGAATTTGTAATGTAGCTAGTGTTGGTTGCCTGAAAATCAGTTTACTTTTTTGAAAGCATTTTTATACTACAGTTAGCAAGTAACTGATTCTATTGTTTCCATATGACTTTTTCTTGGATGAATGTTACAAACGGCCAAGTACTCATTTTTCAAAATATATATTTAGAGAGTACATGTTCATGTTTGTCAAAAAAAGTATGAGGAATCCTGAACAAAACTTAGACGGATTGTCTCATCTCGGATGTACGTGGGGACAACAGAAAGCAGTTAAAAACGTAGAAGGCCTAAGGCATAAAGTGTTTGATACCAACCGGACAACTTGTGCGGTAGCTGTTTCACCAGTCATGTGTACAGGTCTACCCAACGCTTGTAGTGTTAACGGTGTAGGGACATCACTACTTAACTCTATGCTGGACTTTTGTATAAGGGAGAAAGATAGATACAAAGTAAGAAAAAGAAGACATGTTCTAGGAAACTAGTTTTAACAAAAATTGGTATATTATTCTAAAAGCTACATGATCTGCTAGTTCCTTATTAATATCCTGATTAAGATAAAGTATGTCAAATGAAAGATGTATACAAATACTACTTCTCATGGAAAAATTGTGTTGATCTATACATTTTTTAAATAGTTATAGCATTATAAATTTAAGATATATATTAAAGTGTCAGACTTTCCGGAACACTTTCAAAATTTAAGTTGAAAAAGTAAATTTTTTGTGAAAAAGTTGTCATTTTAAATCCCCCCCTGTGGTCAGGTAAAGGGTCAGATATAAAAAAAAATATACCAAACGATTGGTAAAGACATCATGAATCTATAAAAATAGAGTTATATTAATCCATACATCTTTCAAAAAGTTATAGCATTATAAAGTTAAAAATATAAAAAATAATTTTTTTACAAAAATCGTATTTTTTTTATTAAGTTTGATGTCTGTTTTCACCATGAAGTTAAAATAAAGTCCGAAATTTATTTTTTTCATAATTAATTATATTACATTAGCTTTAATTTATGATATATATATATACAAGTATCAAACTTTCCCGAACACTTTCAAATGTTAAGTTGAAAATGTTCTACTTTCTATATGCATGTTTTAGATTTGAACTCTCCTCGTATATAGGAAAATGGTCCGATTTAAAAAATAGTATGTCGAATGAAAGATGTATATAAATACTACTTCTCATGAAAAAATTGTATTGATCCATACATTTTTCAAATAGTTATTGCATAATAAAGTTAAAAATGTAAAATACAAAATCGAACATTTTCACAGAAAAATAGCATTTGATAACCATTTTCACTGTGAAGATAAAATAAAGTCCGAATTTTTTTTTTTCATGATAAAGTATATTACATTAGCTTTAATTTAAGATATATATAAAAGTGTCAGACTTTTCGGAACACTTTCAAAATTTAAGTTGAAAAAGTAAAATTTTTGTGAAAAAGTTGTCATTTTAAATCACCCCCGTGGGCAGGTAAAGGGTTAAAAAAAAAAATATACCAAATGGAAGGTAATGATATCATGCATATATGTAAAAAAAATTATATTGATTTGGTTATTTTTAAAAAAGTTATAGCAGTTTTTAGTAAAAAAAATTGAAAAAATGTTGAAAATTAGCGATTTTTAAATTTGTAAATTTTTTGGAGGTTTCCCCCATTTACGGGGAACGAGGGATTTTTTTTCAATTTTTGTAGGTAATTTCTTCGACTAGATACAATTTGTGATCTTTTGACGCATCGTTGAAAGAAATCCGTTCGGTGAGAGCTGAGAAAAAGTGATAACAGACACACAAAAAAAAAAAAACCACATAATAGTAAAACGCATCGAAACTTAAAATGGGTAATATGTTTTCATTCTACGCGGGGTTGTTACGAACCCCTATTGTTATGATATTAGTGTAGTGGGGTTAGGAAATAATTAGTATTTGACAACTAATAAGCAATATAAGCAATAACGATCGATCCGTTGTATAAAAATATTGTGTTCTGACTTATAAGTGATTTCACCTTCAGACAATTAATGTTATAGTTATAAATAATTGTATTTCTACAAGTAAAGCACCGTTGTATAAATATATATTGTGCTACAACCTTTTAATTTTATCTCACATTATAACTACATTCACTCCAAAAAAGTTACCGTGTCTCATTCTAGGTGCGACACAACATACACCAGTATGTACAGATTTACATCGAAGCATTTCTTATGAAAGTGTTTTTAATCTCTATCAGATATCATCTATACTTGTCTAATCTATACTATATCTATAATCTTTCACTACCGTAATGGGTTACCGTTTTAAAATTAATTTAACAAGATTTTATTGAAATTCTGATATCGATCAATGTATAATTTAAAGATTAAATTATGAAGTTTTCTCGGGAACTATAAAATACATTTATTTGTTTTATTGTACAAACAATTAAGATATTAATCATTATATAACTTTTGTTTAAATAAGTAGACATTTTATTTTTAAATGTACAAATAAAGGGCCTGTTATTTAACGACTTAAATACGAACACGAAAGCAGCTTCTGAATACGTTTTTCTAGTGTGCATCGTATTATTCTAGTAAAAAAAATTTAAAAATGATGATTGCAACTACACGGTGCCTTTATTTGGTGTTGAACATTTTATATTATACTCAGAAAGTTTCATGTGTTATTATAATGGACGATATTCTTAGCAATTTTGTTTACTCTGTGGCTAGTCGTCAACTTAATGGAGTCAGTGTTCGATTTCAAGGAGGGAATTTTAAATCTTTTGAAAACTTAAAAGAGCTAGCAATTAAAGCAGCAGACCGCTTTGATAAACCTAAAGCACAAATATTCCTTGAAAATTTTCAAGATCATTTACCAGATATTATTTACTGTAAGTATGCGGAAAGAATAACCGCTATTACTCATTATATTTATTACCTATTGGAAGGATGTAAAATGTTTATAGATAATGATACAGTAAAATCTCTTAACAAATTTATTAAACAATTAGTAGAATTGGTAAAATCTATACAAAATGGAATTCATTATGTTAGTCAACTTGGTTCTAGAGAATATACCTTTCCAAATACTTCATATTTATTTCTAATAAATCCACTGAATTCAGGTCCCATAGAACAGGTTGGCATACAGAATTACATTAATAATGTATTACAACAATTTAACACAGATGCAAAGATTTATATGACAACATTTTGTGTATATAAAGACAAAAATAATATCCCAACTTCAAGTTATATCAATAAATTGTATGAAGATCATTTGAAAATTTTTAAAAATGATACTATGTACGAATTTTTAGTGAAAAAAACTCAATGTTACTTTACTGAAACTAACACTTTTATGGATCATTTAGATGGAATTTATCAAAACCTTTTTAGAAATAATAATAATAATAATAATCAATAATTGTAAAAGGTATTTTTTTGTACTAAATTTGTTAAATAATAATAATTAAAAATATTTCCTGTTATATAAAGTAATAATTATATCAATGAGTTAAAAAATAAAATGTTCAAAAATAGTTTTTTATATGTTATTTTATATTTTATTTACTAAACACCTTGAATGAATATTAGTATACCAATAAAACATAAAATATAGAAAATATATTATATTTTAATTTTAGATAATGAAGGGTTGTTTTTTTTAATGGCATTTATTTTAGAAAAAGTAGTTTAAACTTCATTCCTGTCATTAGAGTTTTTAGAATAAATTAATTTTGGATAGCTAATTACTTCATTTTTAAACTCGCTAAAAGCCCAATGAGACTATATTATTAAAAGTAGTGGTCAACCACCAACGTGAAGAAACAAATAGAAAAGTCGAAAAACATACAATAGCCATTTTCATCTTTTAAAATAAAATTTGTTTAAATAACATTAATATTTCTTGAAATTTTTATCAGCAGTTTACGAAAAATTTGTTCTTTTAATATAATCAATTTTTGTTTGGAAATTGTAGTATAATTATTAACACATGTACTAAATATCACATATGTATGAATAAAGCCAAAAATCATCTAAGGAATGTTTCCCTTTTAGGGTAATAAAAATAACTATTTATCAACACATGTTTCAAACCAGTCCCCTACAATTCATTAACTACGCCCACGGCAGGGTTTCTATCACAATTAACCAATCACAAATAATAATCTAACATCTTAGGAATTTCAATAGAGATCGCTGGTTTACTTCATCCGGCGTATAAAAAGCCATTTTTTGTCGTAAAAAGGGACGCTGACGCTCAGACTGACGCTTTTTGCTGCTCCTGCTCTTCTTCTGGGACCTCTGACGACTTCGGACGACCTCTCTTCTAAGTATTCTCTTACATGGAATCTGCGTCAGTATAAGTAAATATTTTATCCCTGTGACTTAATGACTTTTTTTTATGTATCATCCTAAGTAGTGAACATTGTCTTAGATGATTTATTAATATTTTACACAGGAACAAGTTTTTATTTATTTTATTATCACCTAATATTCTCCTGACAAACAGACATTATATCTACTTATATATAAAGGTTTTAAATATTATCATGCCCTTCACTTCTGGACAGCCTCAAATGTGCCGAAAAGAGTGAAGAAGCGTAATTATATTTATTTAGACATAGTTTGTAATATATAAGAATTTTAAATATTATTATGCCCTTCATTTCTGGACAGCCTCAAATGTGCCGAAAAGAGTGAAGAAGTGTAATTTTATTTATTTAGACATAGTTTGTAATATATAAGAATTTTAAATATTATTATGCCCTTCATTTCTGGACAGCCTTAAATGTGCCGAACTAAATGGAGAAGCATAATTTGTGATTAGAATTAACTAGTTTTAGTAGTAGTACTTTATGCCTGTGTACCCGCCAGCCTTAAAGGACTATGCCAATTACCTTTCGGTAACGTGTAGGCAGTTGAGGTACAGAGTAGTACTAACCTTATAAAAAGAGTATTTTTGAAGTGCGCTATATCCGTCGACAAGCCAGTTCTAGACCTAGTAGTCCGGGTGGAGTTCATCATAAAATATATAGTCCGTAAGATAGTAAACTACATCTTGGAAATATTCTCTGCGTGTGTACCCGCCAGCCATAAAGGACTATGCCAATTACCTTTCGGTAACGTGTAGGCAGTTGACGTAAAGGATAGTAGAAGATGTATTGAAATAATATTTAAAATATATTAGCGAGGTAACTGTGTCCGCGCCAGCCAAGGCTTTACGCTGAGAAACGCTGGGCCACCACAGTCTTGTTAATTATATTTTGAATATAGATAGACATATTCTTATAATTATATTTTGACTAGTTCAGAGTAAATTTTAAGAATATCGATATCGACTGTAGGGAATTCATCGCAAATATTATTAGTAATAACATAGTATAATATAATAGGAATTTAAAGAAAATAAATAAAAAAACAGGGGTAACAAATTATAATAGACGCAGGTCCCATTATAGAGAATCCTTTTTCTAAGTCTTATATACACAGAGATACTAATTTATCGAAATAAACGCAAACAGTATAAACGACAGTTAACACTGAAAGAAGAAATCACCATAAAACCAACTCAATCAATTACTAAAGGAAATAAAGGTAAGTGCGAATATTTATTTGCATGTCTTACTTATAAAAAATCACGTAATAAACAAAAATAGGAATAAATGAGGTAGGGATATTTTATTATTTAATAAATAAATATAGTTAGACCCCGAGATACGATTTCATTAATACCATCTTTACCCCCCTTAACTTAAGCTACCCTTTATCTTTTTTTTTGTTTATTACAAAATTAGGAATAATTATTTATAAATTTTGGAACATATTCACTAGTGAGTGATTTAGGTGATAACATGCAAGTGCAGTAGTTCTAAACAGACGTATTTGCTTTATTATGTAAAAACTATGTTTTGCCTTTATAATATCATAATTGGACGTATTTCATGAGAATAAGTTCAATAGTCAATCATAAGATGATAAGTCATCTAATGATTTTTGTGTATAGAAGTACTTCATTTTTTTCACCAATAGTTGTATTTCATGTATTTCGTTAAATAGTCATTGAGATAAACTAGCAAACTTTGTTAATACTAAGATTCGCCGATATTTATGACATAAGTGGACAGTGTATTTTAGAAAACAAAAAGTTACAATTTTTAGACTACAGTTAGCAAGTAACTGATTCCAATGTTTCCATATAACATTTTCTTGGTTGAATATTACATACGCCCAAGTACTCATTTTTCAAAATATGTATTTAGAGAGTACATGTTAATGTTGTTAAAAAAAAGTATAAGGAATCCTGAACAAAACTTAGGTGGATTGTCCCATCTCGAATGTACGTGGGGAAATCAGAAAGCAGTTAAAAACGTAGAAGGCCTAAAGAATAAAGTGTTTGATACCAATCGGACAACTTGTACGGTAGCTGTTTCACCAGTCATGTGTCAACCCAACCAATCATCCCTCTTTCCAGTGACGGACTAACCACCCGTCCCGGAGTATAAATGGTTAAGATGCCTCTTCCTTTGGGGAAGGCCGTTATGGCACTTAATGGGCTGATAATGCAATAAAAAAAAATTTTTTACATTAAGATAATTTTTACTTAGGGGCGCTTTCTTAACGGCTTTAAAAAGTCTGTACACTCTGATTCAGTGAAGGATAATTATATTTTAATTTGTAAAATGGAAAAACAAATCTAAACTTGTCTAATGCGTTTATGGCTACAATATCGTTTTATGCTCCGTATGAATAATAATAAAAAAAATATTTGAAATGAAAAATAGTGATATGAAAACATTTGACATTCTGCGATACCAACAGAGTGTTGTCGCGTCCCAAATGATTTACAACGTGTTCCACCTGTCTAATAATAAAAAACATTTTCCAAGAGAATCACGCACAGTATTCTCGTTCCCTCTTATTTTTCGTATCCTCCATGTTTTAAATTTATTTTCAACTCATTTTTTCTTCACTGCTATTCATTTCGTTTTGTAAGCAGCATTTTCAAAATACCGTAATTATAAATATTCTTAGGTGTTAACATATTTTGTCCTATAATATGTTGATAATTTAATTGTATCAAAATAGTCATGGAATTCATTAACAACGCCAACATTAAGTTTCATATATGTAAATTATAAAAAAAATTTTAAAAGTTATACAAATTTTATTTGTTATTGAATCAAAAAATACAGCTTAGTTCAAAAATATTTCTATAGAACAAAAAAAAAAAATAAGATTATCAGTAAAAGGAGTTATTCTCATATTATTACTAAGTCTATTTTATGAATTATAAACAATTGTTATAATATTTATTTTTTTCAAAATGTTGTAGATGGTTAAATGACAATATTTTTAATTTTACCAATTAAGGTAAAATTTCTTTAATTATTTTAATGTTTCATGACAAATATTTTTTGGAAAAAGTTTATAACGCCTTGAGCGTATTTACCTAAATTGTATTTTGTTGAAATTGCAAATAATACTCTTCAGAAAACACGGTGAATAATTTATTTACAAACGTTTATAATGTTATCATTCACCAAAAAACAATTCACACTTACAACTGTTACAATAAATAGCTTTAAATACATTACGAATTCTAAACAAATTATTTTAGACATTATA